TCGGGCACTTTCTGCGGCTGTGACTTCGAGCTGCCGGGAGAGACGACCAGGCCACTCTCGCCAAGTGCGATTTCAACAACTTTCGGGGGAGGGGAGGGGAGGGCCCGCTTTGTTTAGGCGGAGTCGGGTTGTTCCCCGTCGGCAGGGGGGCGGCGGTGGGGGTGGGAGTGAGGAGTCGCCCAGCGAGAGGCCCGAGACAGGATATTAGTGGAAATAATGCCGTGGTTGTCAGGAAACGCGAGTGCAGCCACATGGCTACTGCCAGTTCTGCAGCGAGGATATCCGGTGGCCGCAAGGTCTGTAATTTAGAATAAAAAGAGCTCTCCCAACACCCGAGAGGCTGACCTCAGCGCCGCGTGGCGGTGGTGCGCCCGGCGCCCTCCGTGGAGACGGTCCAGCTTGTGACAGGTGGGGAAGCCTCTTCCTAGGGGATTTATAGCTTCAAAGATGTTGCAAATACTCCCCTTCAGATTCATGTTGCAAAATTCATCCAGCCTCTTCTGAAACATGGTGAGGGGCGAGGACGTGGTAAGTTGCCCTGTTTCTAACATGTACGGGATAATAGAAGCGAAACTTGGAGATATATTTTCTAGCTCCATTGTTTGATGCTTAGAACAGAAACTGTCTAAGATCCGAGATTTCTTTTAAGTTAATATGCAAGGATTTATTCAGGAGTCGATTTGCGTTACCTGGAAGTATTGGCAATTTTCAGTTTTTGTTTTCTGTTTTTCATTCATTTGCTGCTTCAGAGTAGCATGTATGAAATGCAGAGAATATGAGCCGCGTAGAATAAAGAGGGGAAGTGACCCAGGCACACCTGTCTGCTTATGTTGACCCTCCACTTAATTGCTTCTGGAGCCTTACAGTCTAGACAATAGAAAAGCGTGGTCCAATAGCAGGACAGATGTCGAGGACTGAATCAATTAGAATCCTCTCCAAAGGGCATATACAGTACTATAAGCCCAGCCTCACACTGTGTCGGGGACAAAACTCTAAACAAGGTTAAGTAGCCTAATTGCTTGGCCAGAACTTAACTTTTAAGAAGATTAGCAGAAATATAAATCCTTAATGTGAAAAAAAAGAAGTCACTGTGTTATCCAACTTGCACACCTCCAGTATTCTGTTCCTTGCCTTTTTCCTGTGTTCCCTGCCAGCCTGTTTATTTCCTTAGCAAGGACCTCCAATCCCATCCCAATGTCCCGTTTTTCTCTTCACATCACTTCTCTAGGTCTGTATTTACCTCTTGGGCTCTGAAGGGTCTCCATGGTGTTAAGGGGGCCTCTTATAACAAGAATACTTGCACAGCCCAATTAGGCAATAACTGCACCTTCAAAGTTTGTTTTTCAATGAAATTTCTCTCATTGGCCTGGTTATTTACAATATGTATTTTTAAGTCCTCTTATGACTGTACTTTAGAAAGGAGAGCAAGCGAAAATGGATGGCCTAATAAGTTTTATTAAACAGGTTTAATAAAAAGTCATAGTACAAAACTTTTTTACTAACTTTTAAAAGATTTTACTTTTTTACTACAAGTCTTTCCCAGACCAACCAGCATCACAGAATCAATGGAAATGACTTAAAGATAGAGAAAAATAGCTGTGGACCATATATAAATACAGCTCTGTTTTCTACTGGAACCTTTTGAAGGCCTACTTGATTTCTCAAGTTGTGGTCTTGTGGACTTTACAAAGGCGTAATGCTATTGGACTTGTTCAAAAAGCCAGAAACATGTATCTGCAGTGCCAACGGGTTGGAGAGGGATACAGGATTACACAGCTGTCTTCTTAGATAAATCTGACCTACCGAGCCTTCTCTGGAGGTATGTTTCATGCTGACTCATGAACAACAGGAAAGTTATGGCCCATTAAGTAGCATGTTTTGAAGTAAACTTGTTCTCCAAAGAAGACTCCTGTGTCATTTGTGCTATATTTCCATCATTCCCCTGTAGATAGTTGATATTTTGTTTTCACAGGGTATTAGAGCTGGAAAATTTTGGCTAATAAATAATAGCCAAACTGCCTCACTTTACAAACAAAACTGAAGCCCAGAAAAGATGAGAAATACCAAGGTATAGTGGCAGAGTTAAAAAATAATGTTAAGTGAAAAAAAATTAATGTAAACATAAATGAACTTTATATGCAGATTATATTCACACAAGTAAAGTGAGGAAGAGGCACTAAGTAGATATCTCACTAGAGTATAACAATTTTAAATTAGATCCATGTAAGTTAAAATTGACTGTCTACACTTATTTTAAAATACACATGTTGACCATGCTTCTGACTTCTCCCTTGTTCGTTCTTTCCCCTTCCTTCCTTCCTCCCTTCCTCCCTTCCTCCCTTCCTCCCTTCCTCCCTTCCTCC